AGGTATGCAACATCCATTTTATCTCTTCCCTCCAGATAATCTTTCACCAGTACCACAGTCTCTGTGATTAGCCTTATCAAACCAGCCAATCTTAAAGTCCAAAGAACCAAAACTTATATAGTTCTTATCTTTATATATGGTTTTTATAATCCAGTATGTTTCCAATTGTCAAAGTGCCACTAAAAGCAGTATTTTATAACAGTTCTTCTATTCAGGGATCTTACAATTATCAGCCAGCCAAAATTGCAGTCCAGAACGTTTAACCACCTAAGATCTTTCCAGTAAATTCCCCCCTAGAAGATTAGCCTACTGAAGACCTTGCTTTATGTAAAGACCTGCTCAACTAGATCTCCCAAGAAAGCAGAACTCTTGAAACAGGCATTGTCTCAAAAGGAACTTTTATTGAGAGTTAGTGATGGCAAGAGAGTAAAGCAAGGTCTAAAGATCTGGCGAGTAAAAGGCAATTCAAAACTAACCCCCCCAGTGTCCAACCGTCTAGTTGAAATCCAGCCAATCCACAGGTGCCACTGTGTTATGAGAAGCTGGAGATTTAGTGCCCATCTCAAGGTCTCTCTTGGTTTCGTTTCCCAACGGTCCCATGCTCAGTTTTCTGGAGATAAGGCAGATTTTCAGGTCGCATTCCTCTCACACAGAGGGAGGGCACCCCACAAAGAACAGAACAAAGCAAATAATATTCCCCATGGAAGCACCCTCTCCCAACAGTATGGCAAGCCCTGAAAATATATAGGCAAAAGCAAGAAAGGGAAAAATGGAAGGATTAAAGGCTCTGAGGAGCTCTGACAGAAAACTATCTTTAGACAGATTTTTACTCCAAAAGCCTTTTTTAAAAATTTGATAAAAATAAAGAAAATCTGATTTAAATTTAAAAAAAATCCATTTTTTATTTATTTTTTTAAAAAATATTGATTATCAGTCAGGTCCTAGTGATTTATATTTTTCAAGATCATACAGTTGTTCTCTTACCATTTTCATGCTTATTTTAATTTTTATTTCTATTCTGTCTGTTACAGAGCTATGGTGGCACAGTGGTTAGAATGTAGTATTGCAGGCTACTTCTGCTGACTGCTGGCTGCCTGCAAAGCACCATTAGGCAATATATACGTCTAAGTCAGCGGTTCTCAACCTGTGGGTCGCGACCCTTTTGGGGGGGGTCACACGAGCCTTTCACAGGGGTCGCCTAAGACCATCGGAAAACACATATTTCCGATGGTCTTAGGCAGGGCTTGTCAACCGCCTTCTCTCCCTCCCCCCCCTCCGCTCCCCCTCACTTGTTTGTGGAAAATATGCTGCTTGGCGGCAATCTGCACAAACTCTACCAAATGTGCCCTGCAGGGGGCGCATGAAGAGTGCAGGCGCAGAGCAAGGCCCCACCCTCCGCAGGGACTCATTGTGCAGCAACTGGATTGACAACTTCTCGTGCATGCAGGTCAGCAAAGGGGAGGCCGCCGCAGCACCCAACTCCTGCACCGTCAGCTGGCAACTCCCGAACTTGCACTTGTCAACTGGGAGGTCTGGCGACAGCCGCCGGTCTCCTTTGCCACCCCACCCGTCCTTGAATCCTCCTCCGCCCGTTCATGTTGAGCCTGCCGGGGCTTGACAGAGAGAGAGGGAGGGAATGAGGAAGGGACTCCTCCTCCTCCCCTAAGCTTCAAAGCACGATCGGCTTCCCAAGGGCGCCACAATCCTCATGAAAGTGGGGGAGGGGGGGAGAAGCAAAGGGGGCGAGAAAGCTCGCGGTGGGCTCGAAGCAGCATCTGCCAGCTTTGGTGACAAGAAATTCCCCACAAACCCAGGGAAGGGGTGGAGAAAAGGAGCCCCCTTTGGGAGGAAACCACCATCTTCTTCTCCTTGGCTTTGCGCTCTTCTGTTTCTCGGCAGCCGGGCTGCCAAGCCTCTCCTGGCTGGAACTTCCTTTCCTTCCCTCCCTCTTGGTCTCTTCCTCCTTCCCTCCCTCTCTCCCCTTGTCCCTTCCTTCCTTCTCTTCACCTCCCTCTTTGTCCCTCCTTCCCTCCCTCTCTCCCCTTGTCCGTTCCTTCCTTCCTTCCTTTCCTTCGCCTCCCTCTTTGTCCCGTCTTTCCTCCCTCTTTCCCCTTGTCCCTTCCATCCATCCTTCCTTCCCTCTTGTCCAGGATCGGGGCGAACCTCTACAGCTGATCCGTGCTTTTGGAGAGCAGCCAAGAAGCAGGTCAGCTGTAGAAGCTCTTCTTGGCTCCTGCCCAGCAAACTTGCTCGAGGTTTGCTAGCTTGCTAATTTAGCAGAAGCGCGAATCAGCTGTAGCCCGGCGCTGATCCTGTGGCTTCTGCTAACTTAGCAAGTGGCTTGTTTTCTGGTGAAGCTGAGCAAGTGAGCTGGGCGGAGATCTTCTCTGCTTCTGGCAGCCTGTTCCCCTCTCCTTGTCCCTTCCTGGGCACAGAGGGGGGGAGGAAGAAAGGGACAAAGAGGGAGGGAAGGAAGGGACAATGAGGGAAGGAAGGAAGGAACAACGGAAGGAAAGAAGGGACAAAGAGGGAAGGAAGGAAGGAAGGAAGGAAAGGACTAAGAGGGAGGGGAAGGAAAGAATGAAGGGACAATGGGAAAGAGGAAGGGAAGGAGGAAGAGACTAAGGGAGGTGGAGGAAAGAAAGGAAGGAAAGAAGGAAGGGACAATGGGAGAGAGGGAGGGAAGGAGGAAGAGAGTAAGGAGGTGAAGGAAAGGGAGGAAAGAAGGGACAATGGGAAAGAGGGAGGGAGGAAGAGACTAAGGGAGGTGAAGGAAAGGAAGGAAAGAAGGAAGGGACAATGGGAAAGAGGGAGGGAGGAAGAGACTAAGGGAGATGAAGGAAAGGAAGGAAAGGAAGGAAGGGACAATGGGAGAGGGAGGGAAGGAGGAAGAGACTAAGAGGGAGATGATGGGGGGGCGTTGGGGGTCACCACAACACGAGGAACTGTATTAAGGGGTCACGGCATTAGGAAGGTTGAGAACCACTGGTCTAAGTGCTATTGCTACAATTATATTACTGGTAGGTTGGGCTATAGTTTCTTTTTGTGTGAGGACTGATGCAAAGAATGAGTTAAGCAGCTCTGTTTTCTCTCTACTGCCTGTTACTTCCTTGCCATCTTCTCTCTTTAGTAGACTGTTTCCTTGACGTTTTTTCTTGTTATTTATATGTTGAAAGAAACTTTTTTAAATCATCTTTGACATGTTGTTGCAAGTCTTTGTTCATTTTGATTCTTTACTTTCCTGACTTTATCTTTGCAGATTCTGGCTATTTGCTGACATTTTCGCTTAGTTATGTGTCCCTCTTTCCATTTTCTGTACTTAAGCCTTTTTGTCTTTCAGTTTATCAGAAAGATCTTTGTGCAACCATGGTAGTTTCTTCTTGGATTCCTTGTTTTTCTTTTTCAGTGGTATTGTGCTGGACTGGACTTTTATGATGATATTTTTCAGAGTTTCCTGAGCTTCTTGGTTGTTTTCCCCTTTAGGATTTTCATCCAAGGAACCTTTCCCAAGCTCTGAGCTGGTTAAAATCTAAACATGATTATGTTTTATTGCTTGTGTTGGCATTATGTTGAATTCCAATATGACATGGTCACTCTCACCCAAGGTTCCTGTAATTTCAACTCCAATGGCAAAAAAAGAAAAGAGAAAAAAAGAACCAGGTCTTATTTTCAGGGAAACACAGTAGCGTCAGTTGCTTTTTCCATGAGTGGATTGAAAAAAACTGAAAATGAAAATATAGTTTTTACCATAAATTTTTAAAAGGGGAAAAATGTCCAATTTAGAAATTTGATATTCTAATACAGCATTTCAAAATTTCAAAATTTAGGGAAAATGTCTAGTTTAAAAATTAAAATTCTAGTTCAATTAAAAATGTTAAATTTTAAAATTTTCAGTGTTGAATGAGACTTAAATGCAAGACTTAAATGTTCATTCTTAACCTGTCATGGAGTGCTCTATTATTATCCCTTTCTTCTCTGCCTTGTGATCCTTTCCCTCCTTGCCTTCTTATGAGCTTTATTTATCCATTTCTTCTCTGCCTTTTTAATGTTGCATAATTATCTACTCTGCCTACTTATTTATCCCTTTATTCTTTGTCTTGTGTTCTGTAATTGCATTTTTATCCTCTCTTCCTACTTGCCTTTTGCCTGCCACTACTGGATATTCAGCCTTCTCTGCTTTCCTCAGTGACAAAGTAGGTCTCATTATACAAAAGCCACAATTGAGGTACTTGCCTCAACACTGCCCTGTAAGTAAGAATGGAGTTTGTGTCATGATGTTACCATGAACATGTAATCATTTTTATATACTGTACTGTTGTTTGTAGATTTCTCTGCCAGTGAATTTGCAAGGGTGAGAGTGGATTCAAACCTGTTATATAAAAGGTACCTTATGAACATGAATTAAGAATTCCAGGACTTCTAAACACATTTGAGACATTGCAGATTACAATTTATATGTTTAACAAGACAGATTCTAAATCACAAAACTAATGTCATAATATGCCACATAATACTGCTTTTAATTTATACATTTATTTTAATCATCCATGCCAAGAGAGTGGTTAGCAGTCAATGCAATTTAATGAGTTGAACTTTCTTCCTTCCCTGCAGAGTAAACAGGTGATCAGAGACTATCCTGGCAATTTGTTTGACTGGGTAATATAACTACTTGCAGCTGTGAACTCTGGCATTTCTGCCAATCAGTAGGAAGGTACTGAACCATCTTTTCCTTGGGAAAGGAAGGTGGGATCAGATCTTCCTTATCTGAAATTGACAGAAACAAAAGAAGTCAAATATATCATAATTTTGAATTTGGTAAACAATGTCATTCCAAACTATGGATCCCTGCTTTGAGATATTGTCTTCTGTGTAATAGGGAAGTTTTACTATTCTTAAAAGTACATTATATGGTGCATGCTGGCAAACATATATAAATTCCTTAAAATTAGTAATAATTATCTAAACACAAACATGTTAAGTCCAGCACATGAAACACTTACAATCATCTTCTTATAGAGTCCATAATGTAGCACCAAACTGTGGGTCAATGCCAACCGATGTGGTTTCATGGGATGTCCTGCTCCTAATATGAAAAAAGAAAAGAAACACATATAATTAACGTCTCCACAGTAGAAGCACAGGAATCTACCTAACATTACCACAAGTCCTCAAAGAATAAAGAATAATATGAAATTAAAAGTGGGAGGCCTTTTAAAAGACTATTGATTCATTGACTGGGATCTAGACAGCTAAGACATATTTGTCGTTTTGGAAATTTGCTTAAAGTTTAAACTATGTAAACAAGTCCCCTGTGCAACCAAATTTTTTCACAAAGTGATCTTCAGTAATTTACATGTACACATCTTGAGATGGACCTGAAGCTCTATAAACAACTGCGATAACCTTCATAAAATAAAAAGTATGGATACTTGATACAATTCTGTACAATAATATCAAGAATCTATGATTCTGCACATACCCTCTAACACAGTGGTTCTCAACCTGTGGGTCGGGACCCCATTTGGGGTCGAATGACCATTTCATGGGGGTCGCCAAACCACGCTGTCCGCCATTTTTTTCCCTTTTCCCTAGCTGCCCTACTCCCTCTTATTGGTGGCCACACCCACTTGGGGGTCACCACAACATGGGGAACTGTATTATGGGGTCACGGCATTAGAAAGGTTGAGAACCACTGCTCTAACATTTCATAGATACAGGCACTCTCACAGAATAATGCTTGAATTCTAGCACATTCCATAAATATAGATACAATTATACTCCACTAGGAATAAATAACATGCCGCTACCGGTATATGTTAAACTATCAGATTTGGGCTGCAAAAACCAGGCGCTCTGGACTTTTGCAAACTACAAGCTGTAATCCATATCATTAGATGTATTACTCTGAAACAGAAGTTGGTTATTGATCTTGTGTGTGTGCGCGCGGAAAAGTAAGCACTGCCGTAAGAACTAAAGCAAGCTTTTGAAAGGCACAAAATTCTCAAATTCGTGATGAATATGACGGCAGTTATTATAATGAAGGAGCAGTTCAAACGCAATTAAGAGCACCCGGAAAGACTTCTCTTTTCTCAAAACATGTAGTAGTGTGAAATGATTCCTGCCAAGTCTCCTACCTGTGTACAGAACAATCTTTCAAATCAAGAAAGAAAGTTGAAGGGTTTTTTTCAGCGTTGCCCCAAAAAGAAAGACAAAGACCAAAACAAACCCAACGCCTTTCTGATAAAGAGGGGAAACTGTAGCACATGGCTGTTGAGAAAAGTCCGATCCTTTCCTCAACCGAGGAAAAATCAGATAGCCTTCGCTCGATCGCACCCCCTACAGAAAGCACGAGCTCCCAAGACTTCCCCATTACCGCTGCTGCGCACGCACCGTAATGAAAATTGCCCACATCGGGATCATAGAAATAAGCCACAGTCTTCGCCATACCCTCCACCCTCGGAAGGACTTGAGTGCGGAATGACCTCCCGGTTGCGTCCCTCCACCTACAGGCTTACGTCACCGCGTCGCCTAGGCAACGTGTGGAAGCTCTACCCGGGGAGAAGAAAGGTCTTTCTTTCCCTGCACGCAGGCGCCTAGTCACCGCCTCCTTCATCTGTTCTGGGGTTGGGATGAGTTGCTACGTAGCGAAGAGAAATAGGTCCATGAGGAATCACGTTGCTTCTTAGTCAGATAACATGCTTCAGACTCAGATGCGGTTTGGTTTGCTGTTTTTGTTTAAACAAGGCTGCCGTATCTGAACGGCCAAAAGTTGAACGATCAGTAAGCGACAGTAAATGAGGGTTTTTTTTTTAACCTTTTCTTTCCCCCTAGGTTTCATCTGGATTTTCGCAGCCTAACTTCTAAATAATTATATTTAAATATTTTAAATAGCGCTAATATGAAATGGAAGACTCGCTTCTAACAACTTTTAAAAATACTCTCAAAAGCCATAGGTTCGATTCTGTAAGATATAAGATTGTGGTGGACTCTTCAGCTAGACAGAAGGGAGGGATTAAGAGAGGCCGAAGTGGCTGGGTTGCAGGAAGTGGCGTAGACCAGACCTAGAACCCTTGTGCGTTGCCAGGAAAGTAATCAGTTATAAAGGATTTAACTTTTTCATCAAAAATGAAAAATAAAATATTGTTATATGCTTTTGGCTACTTTCCTTTGCAACCAGTGGTAAATTTGGCCAATAACCAGTGAAGACACAGTGAAGACCTTTTTATTTAGTTTATTACAATAAGTGGGGAAAAGCTATCTTAACTTAGTTCTCGCCAAAGTTCATCATCTCAGATCAACATCTTTATACATTGCCTACACCGGCACCCATCCCTCATTTGCCACTGGATGAGGTATTATGAGGTTACATTCTCTTCAACAACCTACAGCAGGAGTGTCAAACTGCCAGTCTTTGGGCCGGACGCGTCACGTGGAACCCCTGCCCATCCCATTGCCAGCAATAGCAAAACAATCTCGATACGTTGCACGACATGATGTCGCAAGTTTGACATGTCTGGCTTACAGGTTTCCTGAGACCCTCCCTAAACCCTACATCACATATCACATGTATATTATGTTGGGAGTAATTCCCCTGCTTAGATTTTTTCAGCTGGGATTTCCGCAATCAGTGCTCAAAGAGTAAATAGAACGAGAAGCCAGCTACCGGAAAAAGAGGTTTAATCATGAGATCAAAGTTGAGTGATAATTCAGCATGAATCCCTGGCTAGTTATGAAGAATGGTCTCCAAGCGTGAGTTTATTATACCTTTTCTTGGTTTTCTAAATTGTCATTTCTGATTCATGGTTTTAAAACTCTCATTTCTGATTCGTGGAGCAGTGTCTGTTATGGGCTAATTTCTTTATTCAATCTTGCTCAGGAAAAGTAATTCAACCCTGCCTCAGGAAAGAATCTGGAGTGTTTCTATGTGTTTCATTATTATTATTATGTATTTTCCTATATCTCTGTTCCAATCTTGTTAGACTTAATTGCCTATAGCCGGCCTCGCATTCCTTCGGTTTATCTTAAATGTTTAAGCTCATATTTTGCGTGTTAAGTGTTTGTTTGCCTTGGACCACTTAGCTTGGTGCAGAGTCAGATTTTTCTTTCAATTGGGTTTTTTCTGTATTGGCCAAAGTATTTCTTGTTTGATTAAATCAGACATGTCAAACACAAGGCCCGGGGGCTGGATGCACCCCACGACATGGTTTCATATGGCCCGCGAAGCCATCCTGGAACAGTGATGGAATGGCCCCCGCTGCCTTGACCCCGGCCCAAGCCGCCCGGGAGCCAATGTACAATTTTGTGGTGGCCCTCTATGCTGAAACGCATTCAGTCTTAGCTGCACAAGGCCGTCTGGAACCAGCAAGGGACTGGCCCCTGCCCCCTGGGCACAGCCTGGGGAGGTGTCACCCTTTGTGAGGAATGAAGAAATACACCATTGCCTGGAAGTGGCCAGCAAATGGCCCTCGCCTACTTCACATATCCGGCTTGATGGGCTCCGGGGGAGGGGATTCGGCAGGCAGCAGGGTACTCTCCTCACAGCACCGAGAGCTTGAGCCAGGCGGCGCAAATTCAAAAAGAAGCACACCGCCACTCAGCCCCTAGCCTGCCTCATTTCAGCAGGCAGCAAGGTGCAAAGCTGGCGAGCTTCACACTGCCCGGCTCAGCCTCTCGGCGCTATGAGGCGAGTTCCCTGTTGCCTGCTGAAACCAGGCAGGCTGGGGGCTGGGTGACGTCACACTTCTTTTCAGATTTGTGCTGCCTGGCTCAGCCTCTCAGCACTGCGAGGAGAGCGCCTCACTGCCTGCCAAAACCAGGTAGGCTGGGGGCTGGGCGGCATTGCGCAGGTAACGTCGACTCTCACGTTGCTCATGGTGTCCACCAAGCCAGATATGTGAAGTAGGCGAGGGCCATGTGCTGGCCACTTCCAGGCAATGGTGTATTTCTTCATTCCTCACAAAGGGTGACACCTCCCCAGCTGCATTTCTTGCCTATTTTTCTCCCTCCCTCATCTCAAGTATTTTCCCACCACTCTGTTCTTAGAAAGGAAGGAAGGAAGGAAGGAAGGAAGGAAGGAAGGAAGGAAGGAAGGAAGGAAGGAAGGAAGGAAGGAAGGAAGGAAGGGGAGAGAGAGGGGGGGGTCTGAGGGAAATCCTGCCTTAGTCCTGCCCTGCTGCCCTTTCATCATCCCCTTGCCCCCTCTTCCTGGCCTACCCTGGGGGTCTCCCATCCTATTGCTAAGGTAGCTTTGGATATAAAGCCAGGTCTCCTCCCATTGAGAGGGAGTGGGCCTCCCTCTGACTTTTCCCTCATACCCATCATGAGCAGCCTGGCTAAGGAGAGCAAGCACAGCAGCAGCAGCAGCCTTGAGGAGGAGATAAGTGCAGCTGGGTGCCCCCTTGGGGAAGTGGGGCTGGGCTTGGTGCCATAGGTGCTCGAGGGCCAGGCTGGGCGTTTGACTTCTGTTGCCCAGGGCTCCGGGCAGCCCGCACCACCATCCAGCCTCCCCTTGCATGGCCTGAGAGGAACAGTGAGGCTCTTCCAGTGGACCATGCCTTAGTGCTTGCCCAGTTCCCACCCCCTTCTGCCAGAGACCCTCAGATCTATCCCACTCCTGCCCAGGCCCCCACAGGCACCCTTGATGCGAACAATGGAGAGCTGGCCATGCCCACTCAGTAGGCCACAACCATTCCAGCAACACCCACCCAGTACATCGCGCCCACCCTGGCCACACCTACCCAGCCCCCCAACGACAACTGCAATGCCTATGTGGTCCTCAATGAAATTGAGTTTGACACCCCTGGATTAAATTATATCCTTTTTATTGGGGTGAAGGGGGTGGCTCTCATCAACTATAATTAACAGATTATATATGCAAGTTGTGTCAATATTTTAAGCATGTGCTTTGCTTACTACTGTGACCCACCTCTTCTTAGAAAAAAAACACCTATTTTTTGGATATCATGTGCTTGCCACAATTTATATGCCCCTCTCCTGTGGCTAAGCTAGCAATTTTCTCTTATAGCTTGGTACTTTCTGAAGACCTTTCACCCATATTCTCTATCAATATCAGTAACCTCACCAAATTAAAGAAAACTTTAGCACCTTTACATATGTCTGTTTTCCCACATCTTTAAACAACATATATAAACTCAAAATCTACTATTATGAACTACCATTAAGCTTTTAATAATCTAAGGACAAATGTCTTTTTCATATTTTTTATTACAGATTTTAATTGCAATACTAAAAGTGAAGGCAAAGTAAACTCAGAAAAAGAAAAAAGTGCAAAAGTAAATAAGAAGGTAAGAGAAAAGAAATAGATAAAGAATGACTTCCAATCTTTATTACAAATTTGATAACTCTTCATCTCCTATAAGGCTACAAACAAATATCTAGTTACAAAAAAAAATTTTTTTTCACACATATTCTCTATTTTGGCTTTTTGTAAAATAAAAGATGATATGTCATGTGCTGTTGCTCATCTGAGGTATATTTACCTACTTCTTATAGCTAGCTATAGCACTTAGACTTATATTCCACTCCATAGTACTTCACAATCCTGCTGGGCTCACAGCAGGATTGAATTTCAGACTATGAGCAGTTAGCCTGCAACACTGCATTCTAATCATTGTGCCACTAGAACTGCTAAGGACAGATGATTTTTTTTTACTATGTCCTGATATGTAAAACCATAGAACTCAAAAGAGGATGTACTTTCTTTTTCACATGACTGTATATCCAATAGAAAGTCCATAATAGGGTCATTCTCTTAGCTTCTCATTTGTAATTCTATTATTGCTGCCTTCTCTATCTTGTAATTCCTACTTTTTTGTATTTCCATTTTGATTTTCCAAATCTTAACCAAAACCATAGCCATGTTAGGGTTATTCTCTTGGCTTGTCATTTATAATTCCACTTTAATTGCCTTCTCTACTTTGTAATCCATATTTTTATTATCCAGCATTTCTGATTCTACTATTTTTGCATCAGATTTAACATTTTTTGGGGACATCTGTTCATAGAAGCAGGCGTCATTCCTGATATTTCTGATATTTTAGCTACTAATGTCTGGTCCCATTCTCCAAAAATCTGCTGAAGTGTTTCTAAAATTACAGCATTTTGTGTCATTTTGTAAATTCCCATACTCACCAAAGACCAAAAGCAAGTTTACACTTTTTTTCTTTTTTCCTTTCTTGCCTAGAATCTTTACTCCCACTAGTATCCTGTCCAATTTCTGAAATCTAAGTTTCTATTGGAGAGCCAGTTTGGTGTAGTGATAAAAGCATCAGGCTTAGAAACCATGAGACCACGAGTTAAAATCCCACCTTACTCACAAAGCTGAGTGTAAATAACATCTTAAATACGAGGATGAGGAAACACATTCTCTTACTTCTACTATAGTGTAACAAGTACAAAAATGAACAAGTGGTAAAAAATGGGAGGAAGAGAAAACATTACTATCCCAGTATTTGAACATAGTCTTTCCTGCACATTACAATATAACTAATGATAGCAATCCTTGTTATATGTTGTGTGCATTCCACGTTTATTCCTTTTGCTCTGTTTCTGGGTGAGGTTCTTACTTCCAACAGTTCCAAATATAGTAACCTTAAGATGTTCTGTAATGTAGTTAAGAAAAAGAAAAACATCTGTTGCTTGTACATATATAAGTGCAGCAAGGGATTTGCCTTGGTGTTTGATTAAGTAGTTTAAATGAGCAATCCCAGTGACATCAATGAGTGTGGGTATAGACGTCTTCTGCAATGCTTACATGATGCTGTCTTACAATACAGCTTAGAGTAGGATCATTGTGATTAAAGAATATTTTAATTTAGTTTGATATTTTCATAAGGTAATTGATATTCATCTACGTAGACCATTATTTCAGCTTTAGAGTTCTGTGCATCTTTCTATATCTTATGACCATGGTGGCGAACCTATGGCATGTGTGCCACAGATGGCATGCAGAGCCTCTCTGTGGGCACGTGCACCATTACCCCAGTCCTAGGCCTTCAGCTGGGTTTTATAAACCTTTTCGCTTTAGGCTTCCGCTGCCGTGTGCAAAATAAAAAAAAGGTTCAATCAATCAATCAGTTTCAACTTCTCGCGAGAAAAAAAAGATCTCGCAAAGCTGGAATTGATTGATTGAACTTTTTAGTCCCACCCAGTCTGCCATTACCACCGCAGCCACGCCCACCCAATAGGCCACGCCCACCCGGCATCCAACAATACATAAGTGGGTTTTGGGTTGTAGTTTGGGCAATCAGTCTCTGAAAGGTTTGCCATCACTGTCCTATGAGATCACATTGGAAGCATTTAGAAACCTTTCTCATAATAAATGTAGCCACATCACATACACACATTCCAAAATCCAGAATAATTCTCAGATGCATTTGCAATGGGTGTTTGAATTTCCTGGTTATTCAAGACTAATTGCACCTCAGTGTTGGAAGGGGAACATGTGTGATAGACTGAACCATTTCACAAATGTCCTCTAGTTCATTTAATATTTCTGTAGTATGTAGCAAAGTAAATGCTTTTTCCAAGTTGGGTTCCTGGCCCATTATAAGATTTTTGTCAACTGCCACCTTATGTTTGATTATGCTTCGCTGCTATGGGATGACAGACTGCCATGAATTATGGGGAGGGGGAATGAAGGTGAGAATACTTGGGCAAACGAAAGTAAGTGCTGTGTCTCCTCAAGTCACTGCTTCAAGGTCACTCAGCTGGAAGGAAGCAGCATACCAAACGACACTTGGACTGACCGTTATGAAAACATCTTGCCTGAACCTGATTGGTTATACGGGGCCGGCAATGAGAGACAGTTAAGGGAGAGAAAAGTAGAACTTAGGGATTTTGGCATACGATTTTCAATTCTGGCTTTGCGATACTGCACTACTGCAATACACTTGATGTCTAACAAACTATATCTTTATCAACAAATGGATCCATGGATCATTTTTATTTAGAGGTTTAAGTTGTGGCAGGGCCAACAATTTTTGTGTAATCATTGGCTTAGCAAAATTATTTCAGAAGCTATGAGAAAAGTATTATTATTTCATGTATTTCCTGTCTTTTGCGGCTTTCAGGCCTTCTTTCCCTATTTGGCCACAATAGAACCTTCCTGTGTACAGGCTGTATTCCAACTGGCAGGTATAGTATCAACATCGTGTTTGCCATTGGTGGGTTATTAGTTGTATCCCCATCTTTTTAAAAATTGCTTTACACAAATATGAACTTTTAGAGAATAAGGCCATTCCTGTGAAATATATATATATTATATTGTGCCTAGTTAGTCAGTATTTCGGTTAGTTAACTGAGCTATCCAAGGCAAAGGTTAAGAGAATATGCATAACTTCCATATTATGATTCAAGAATTAAAATTAATCCCTTAGAATAAAAGCAGACAGAGAAATGGACACCTCATTTTGAATCTGAACTAATTATAATGTCCAACTGGCATAGTGATATTTTTCCTCAGAACACCTTGCAGAATAATTAATACATTATATCATATTTCCTAATCAGGAATACTTAGATCAGTGATGGCGAACCTTTCAGAGACTGAGTGCCCAAACTGCAACCCAAAACCCACTTATGCATCATTGAGTACTGGGTGGGTGTGGCCCATTGGGTGGGCATTGCCAATGGGGTAGGCGTGGCTGCAGTGGTAAAGGCAGACTGGGTGGGACTAAAAAGTTCAATCAATCAATTCCAACTTTGCAAGATCTTTTTTTTCCTGTGAGAAGTTGAAATTGACTGATTGACCCTTTTTTTTTTTTTTTTGCACATGGTGGCGGAGGCCTAAAGCAAAAAAGTTTTATAAAAGCCAGCTGAAAGCCTAGGACTGGTGGCGCGCATGCCCACAGAGAGAGCTCTGAGTGCAACCTCTGGCACCTGTGCCATAGGTTCGCCACCACTGACTTAGATTATTCACAAAAAATATTTTATGTGCAAATAATTCTGTTTCATAATTATATTTGCCCAATACCAAATGTATCTTTATTTAAATAAAATATCTTTATTTTGATGAGTTAGATTTGCATAAATTCATTTATTTCTATGTACTTAAAAGTTCCTAATTCTGTACATGATTAAGCTACACGAGTTAGTTTATATATAGCTTTCTCTCTCTCCCCACTTTGCTGCCTGTTTGGACTTTGAGTGATGGGGACTTCAGATCAGCAAGGTGCAAGAGATAGATAAAGTTAGCTCATATTCTAAAAGTTAACTGCATTTTGGAACTAGATGGCACAATCATCTTTCCAGAAAGAGAGGTAAGAAATATTGTTTCTTCTCAACCCACAAATTGTCCTCCTGTTAGTACTGAAATACTATAGAGTTTATTAATTATAAATAAAAAGTAAATGTGACATGCCTTTGGATCAGGACTGTATCAGATATTCTGGTCTATTAGAACAAAACAAATGACTGTAGCTTAATAACCTAATTATATCTCAGTATAATTTCATAGTGTAGTAAGTAAAGCCATAGATTTTTGTCACAATTTTTCTTCAAGCTGAATATTGCTTGTTTTAAAATGTGATAAGAAAAATGGATGTGTTAAAAAAAGCCAAAGTCTGTCGCTTTAAAGCAGTCTTGAAAATTAAATGCAGGAGGTATTATATAAACTTGGCTTAACTGTGTAGCGAACAAATTTCAAATTCACTAAAAAGTCAATGCAACAAGGAAACTCTGTGCTCTGTGATCAGTTATTTCAAATATTATATGCAGAGTGAGCTACAGCTGGTGAAGGCTCCTTCACAGATCTACTGTCCCACTTACAACTCTATAGACAGAACAGTAACTTCCATGGATTTTTCTCTTATGTGATTATGCATAGGATTTTGCTAAACGTAATAAATTCACAACATCATAATGGAGAATATAATTATATGAAAAAAGGGAAATAATGACAGGCAAGTGATACAAAGAGAAAATACTGCAGTGTTTCTTTAGACAATCAAAGTTTTGCTTATGATCTTGCAAATAATAGAGGCATATGTGGAGAAATATCAAACTAATATGCATGAAACAAAGACATGAGATTAGTTAGTTAACAGAAGGTAGAACAAAAGAATACAAAGAATACAATTACTTCTGCATTGACTAGACGGAAAATAAGAATTTAATTGGCATAAAAACCTGATCAGCAATAGTTTAATTGATCAGTGAAGAGATTAATAATTAATTGATAATTAATAATTATCAGGCACTGACAGGCACTGGAATTAGCCATGTTAAGGTGCTAACATCCTTGTAAGAAATACAAAAGATAAGGAAAAGAGGAAGACAAGAATTA